AGGCTGAAAACACTGCACTGAAAGACACTAATTCCCTGTATCACAAGTTGGTTTGAGCCTGCTTCCTCAACAAGAACAGATGCTCAGAGAATCAGATATGACTGACCCTAAGTGTTTTCCAATATCAGTTCCAGCTCCCACAGACACTAAACATAAGATAAATCAACTTAAATCCAACTGACCTGACATCACTTACAAGGAATTATCCCACTGTGAAACAGCTGATTGATTCCTCTTCTCCATTTCAAAATGGTACCATGAGCTACTGCAGCATGTAATGGATGCCACAAAGCTGCTCTGCACAAAAATTACTCTCTATCCATGAAAAATAGCTGAATTTACACAAGAAATTTTCTCCACATGGTTTCCATCCTCCTGTAGACTACAGGATAGTTTTTTCACACCCTATGCTACATAAACTCCTTGCAATAATGTGCATAGTAAATGTATTTCCAAGGCAATTGACTGTTACTGCAAACCTGGTGATAAAACCACCCATTTTAGACCTCTCCCTTCTCCAAGTACAGTGCACCATGCAAAAGCAGGGTCTAGATGTTCTGCAAAAATAGGTTCTTTTGTAAAGACCTCAGGAGTTCCTCCACACACATTTGACAGATAATAAAACACAGGCACTAGAAAATAAATTATATGTTCACTCAGTCAGAAATAGTGGCTTGAATGCCTGGCCTTGGTCCACCTACTGAAAATTAATATAAATAAGGAAGATCAAATTCCTAAACAAAACAAAAGTCATGGAAGATTTTGTTTCTGTCAAGGAAGACTTAAGAGAAACCCATACTTGTTTCCCAGAAACAAAGAAACAAAATCCAATTTTGCTTGCATAGCCAAGTGCTTTCTTTTTTTTTTCTTTCATTTCCTTTTTGAATCCAAACATACTGGAGTAGAAATGAGCAGCTGGATAAACTGATATATTTCTCTGTGAAATCTTGTATTTTTATAATCTTTTTTTCCCTTTTTTTTCCCCTGCAACACATTTCTGGGATTTGGTGTGAAATCAAACAGATCCATGAATAATAACAAGAGATTTCATGTTCTTTTGAATGACAGGGAGTTTTAACTTATGCTAGGCAGAAATTTGTGAATGATGATGGGATACAGGAAAAGAAACATGACATTTCTGAAGCAGGATGAGCCTTTAAAGCCCTTTTATGTGTGGCTATAAAAGCAACCATGTCCCTACCTGTCTTCAGAAGTACAAAGACTCTCTTTCAGTCATTCTGTGTCCCCCCTGATCCTCTTTGTCCTCAATACTCTGTTCTTTAGGGCATGACAAAGAACACGGTTTAGATTTTGTGTAATTTAAGTACCTACAACTACCAAAACACAAGTTGGAGCCTTAAAAACAAACAAAAGATAAAAATCTTACACCAGACCTCACAATAAGGTGTTTTACAATACTGGAATTTTAAAAAAATTTATATTTTAATCTCAGTAGCCCATCACCTTCAATAACAATCTTGCAAAATGCATTGTTTATCAAAGCAGATGCTACTTTCACAATATATTTTGTCTTTCCTTTGGTTTTTGTTTGAGGTCTGAGGGTTTTGTTTAGGTTTCAGTTGTGGCTAACAGTACTTCTGGCTTTTTTTGGCTCAAGCTGACCACCATAAATAAATCTGCTTAAAAGTAGAGTTCTAAATGTGTGCCACAGCTTTATATAGCAGTAATGCATCCACTGAATAAAAAACTCCATTTTTATTAGGCCCGTTTGCATCATGAAAGATCTTTAATATAATAACACTTTGGGATACTTACAACAATAAATAAGAACTGGCCAGACTGGTCACCATAAGGTGCTTGAAATCTGCTTAGCTATTACTGATATTTTCTTGTTCCAAACTGTCTATTTGTTATCTAACAAACCCTTCTGGGAGTCCAACCAGTGCAGTTTCAGCCCTCCTGCCTTACAGCAGAGCACATCTGAAAGGTGCCACATTGAGCCACTGCAATTCCAGTGAAGGCACCTGTAGGTTCCTGTCAATGCACTGGAAACTGGACAGGCTGGCAGCTCCTGTCCTGCAGCATCTCAGGGTAAACTCTGCCATTTTTGCACATTCCTAAGCAGGATGAAAGTTTTAGCTATTTTTTCCCCCTAATGGAATAAAGCTTGTTCATCCTTCAACATTGAATCACTTTTGGAAGTGTAATTAATCAGGAGCAAGAAACACAGAGAAAATCAGGTTTTAGTAGTTTAACTGTTCGTGAATTCATTTGAGTGAATTTATGGGCATCTCGTCCTCTATGATATTTAATGAGTCCAACAAATTCACTGCAGTAGATGTCTGGTGAGACACAATGTTATAAAAACATTTCATACCTGATTTACACAAAAGGGGTAAAAACTGAAGGCAGGCATTTTATACCATTATTGATTTTCCACAAATATACATAGATGTGTGCATTATACACAATATAAACAAAACTGCTCAGACACTTTCCAAAACTGAAACTCAATCAGCAGAAATGCCACTTATTGACCTCAACAGAACAGCAGGGAAAATGCTGCCCTGTTATCCTTCTCATGATTCTGGCCTATTTCTCTAAATTACAGGGCCAAACCTCTGCAATAAGGAAGCATCACTATTAATCCCTTGTGCCAGCTGTCTTCACTTTGCTCACACAGGGGCTCAGTGCCCCATGCTATGTAATTTAAATGAAACACATTATTTGAAAGAACAAGAGGGAATCATTTCAGCAGATTACTCTGAGTTGCAACTGATCCTACCTCAGTCCTACCCAGAAACTGTGTTTGATTTCAGTTTTTGCTCACAGTCCCTCAGGCTCTCTGATTAACAGCAACATTTTATCTGCGGGTAGCATATCTTCATCATATACAGCTGAAGATACTAACTTTGAAAAAAAAAAAGAAGATTCAAGAATATAATTATGTTCTGACCATGTAAATTTGTGTCTCAAGAAACAACAAAAAATTCTAAACTGAACAGAGCAGGTTTGGCAGACCAAATTTGTGAAATAGATACATTTTGTGAATGACAGGATTTCAATATCCAGTACAGCATTTTGTAAATGTTCCTGTGCTGAAGAGTGCTGTTTATCATCAGTTCTAAGACATAAAGAATTCGCACAGCTTCTGCACACTTTAAAATATTCTGAGTCATGTATGGTAAGAAATTCAGTGGTTTTTTTTACACCTAAGCTGTATAAATACTGACTTGCTGGGAAATGTAAGCCTTGTACATCTAGCCAACAGAGACTGTGGTCTCAGAGAAGAGGACTCGTTTTGTTTTCTATTAAGCACATAGAAACTACCAAAGATGTACAAGAAATGACTTCTGGGGAGGCATGGATCCTGCATGCTTCAGCCTTAATCCTCCTGTCTTTAGCCATAAACTGCCAGCTCCACCATTTCAGAGGCTTCTTGCTGTTGGTTTGTTGCTGGGAATGTTAAGAGAACCCTGGTACTGAGAAAGGTTTCACTAGACACAAAGTGAAAAGGGAACAAAAGTTTTTTCTTGTACTAATCTAGTCAGAACATGGAAGTCTTAGCAAGCTCAGCTTGGGTCTGTCTTGAATTTTGAGTTGCCATCAACTCTTCCACAACACAGATTCATGAGTAGTTCTGTCTCTTCTCTAACCCCCTGTAGACAGGTATGAACAGACCTCAACATCAGCATGACAATGCTGTTCCCATCAAAATTAATCCTGGTACAGGCTCTGCACAGGTGTTCCCAAGCTGACCTGAGAGGGATGCCAGGCAGAACTCCTGGAGCAGCATCAACACCTCCTCTCCAGCAACAGCCAAGCATTGTTTAATGGCAGGTCATCTTAACATGACATTCTGGGGACCCAGGAATGGAACTAGAGTCATAGAATCATTAAGGTTGGAAAGGAGCTTTAAGTTCAAACATTAAAATCCTCATTTATTTCCTGTGCATTCAGTTAACATGCAGCCAACAGCTGTACCTCCAGTAGGATCAGTTCCTAGGAAAATTAGTTTACCCAGTCAAATCCTGAATTTAATTGACTATGTTTATCAAACTAAAAGGACCACAAAGAAAAAATGAGTTAAACTAAGTAAACCATTCACCAAGGAGCAGAAGAAAAAAAAAAGTAGACTAAATAAGATACAAGAATGCTTTGTGATTTTCTGCAGCTGCTCTCAGCATTGCTTAGCAAATTAATTTCACACAGAATGTCATTCAGAACTATCTTCAGTCCTTCTCAGTGTTTTAGCACATTATAACAATTAATCACCTTTTATTAATTCATAGGCACTCAAAGATGACCTAAGAACAATCACATTGTACTGGGTGCTGCTAACTCATCTTTTATATTAACATTTACACTATTATTCTACTTAATACTACACACCCATACTACACAGAGAATTTTACAAGTGTATTGAGACCTTGATTTTGGAAAAAAAATTAAATGCAGGCCTAAAGGGAATATGAGCATGTGAAATATTCTCCAGACCACACAGGTAAATATGTGCATAAGGCTTTGTGTAGGATCCACAGCTGCATAGTCATCTTTGCAGAAGAGAAATAATATTAGAATTAGACTTAGTGGTGGAACTTCACTGTAAGATATGCAGCTAAATAGGTCAGGTCTACCTCCCCATGCTGTCCAGGCTTAGAGCTGTCACCTATACCTCATTTTCATTCAGTATTTTTTCCAGGATTCATTGAATGGGCAAATCAGAACCTGTTCTGTAATAACACATACAGGCATTTTTCATAAATGAATCTGTGGTCACAACCAGTTCTCCCTCGGAGGAGGCAGACTAAAAGCAATGTGTAACACCAACAAGCACAATACCTTTAGAAAGCATTTATTTTCCTGCACTAGTTTTCTTCCTATTACTTTGCATGCAATTTTTACAGTATGCTCATCACAGCCTCATCCAAACATTTCACAAACACAAACATCTCCTAGCAGTCCCCTTATTTTACAGGTTATTTTCCTTTTTATGAAGCTTGTTTTCATCAGTAATCAGGTGGCCTTGGATGCCTTACCAGGGATGGGATAGTCTGACAGCGAAGTTTTACATTTTGTCCAGGTGACACACTCGTAATTGTTCTGAGGTCTTCCTGGGGAGAGCTGCAAATCTGGGCACCAGTGCTCAACAAACGCGGTCTGTCGAAGTTTCACCTCTGTCCCAGTGGAAGACAGCTGTCAAAGGAGTTAAAGACAGGCAGGGTTAAGGAAGCCTCAGCTGGTCTGATTTGGGACAGTTAGCTCATTTTGGAAATGTTTGCTCCATTTTACCATGCTCCAAAGTCAAAACAGCACAGATGCCGAGTGGTTTGTTTTCTCTCATTAGAGTAGCTGGGTTTTTTTTAAACCCTCTGCAGTTTTTCTAAGGTCAGTCCTTTCATGCACTGCCATAGTCTGTCGGATTAAAAAAGCCTGGAGGTCACTGTAATGCCTTGTGATAGTCAGAGGATGCAATACCTGTCAGAGGCAGGGAACATTTCTGTTGCTATGGACCTTTAGGTACAGAGAACTCTCTGAAAGGCAAATAAACATGAAATATATTATTCCTTAAATGCACCATTAGACAAGTTTAAGGAATCCACATCCTGGATCTTCTTTCTGCACACAGAATTGAAGGCTTATGTGAAAAGACAACTCCTGATCTGGAGAAATAAAGAAATTTTCTGAGGAGAGGTAAATTAAAACTGCCAAAACATTAGTGTTGAAGTAATCAGGAGTAGAAATTTAAGGGAGGAAACAAAAAAAATTTTATCAGCTGCATATCCATGAGGAGAGGGTACATTAGAAAGATGTATTGCTGTCCACTCTTTAAGAATAATACTGACACTTCCAATTTCTACCAAACTCATGAAATTACAAGACTGTTTACCAACCTACCTGCCAACTATACATTTCCATCTTTCTCTTTTGCCTTGCTGTCCTGAACAACTGTAGCAGGTCTCATAATCTATAGAATGGGGGAGGGAGCACAAGGGCAATCAATAGCCTTGCAGCTTCTCCCTTTTACTCATTCTACAGGATGCTTAAATGTCACTTTCATGGACGACTTGGCAAAATACACATTTCAGACCATCACAGAGCACATTTACCTCCAGGTGTCCTTAGGTTCCTACAAAGGCTTGTACTGTGTGCCACATCTGATTTAGGATACAAACTTCAAAAGGAGCAAACAGCTGTTTGAGGCCTTTAAGACACCCTTAAATGATACTGGAAAACAGGATTTGTACATTCAAGAGTCTCTGCAGCTTCAAAAAGCAGTATCCATGATCATACTCTGCTTTCTACAGAGTCATGCACTAGTAAGCCTGTGACACAAACCACTGTGCAAAGTCACGAGTAGAAGATCAATAACCTTTCCTTTCCTTTCCCCCCCCCTTACAAGTGATTTTATCACTATTTTGAGTTAGATTCTGAAATTCCTGATAACAGTGCTATAAAAAACACTGCTGAAGAAGACACCAGTAAATTATCCAATCTATATTCCTGCCCGACAGCAGGATCAACTGTAATTATTTCTGACAGATATTTTCATAACTTGTTCTTCACAATGAAACATGCCCTTGCAATTTACATTGCAGTCAGTGGAGAATTCCTGTTTACAAAGAATAAAATCCAGAGCATCAGAAGAACAGTGCTCAACAGTATGCAAGCTCACAAAGATATGCAAGAGTTCACAGCAAATTTATATACCAATTTAATTACTGGTAGAAAGGTTAATCAGGGTTATGACCACTCCCATGATGTTTTCCTCCAGAAAGTTAGAGAGTTTTATCTGTTAATGAAGAGTGCGTGTGTTTAGTATCCTCTTGTGCCTATTGCTGTACACTAGCCAAATATCATCTTAAACAGCCACTGCATTTGAATTACCATAATCTGATGAAACAGGTCTAATCAACCTGACCAGAAGAGCTCAATGAAGTTTTATCATTTGCCTCTGTTTCTTTCACAGTGTGTTATTATAATTGTAGCTCCTTTTTCTCTGCATAATCCAAACAATGCCCAACAGCTGCTCAATTAAAATGGTGGTGGTTGACTTTAAACAGAAGTTCCTACCTCAAAGATACACCAAAAGACAAATCAATTCGTATTTGTGGGTTGCTATTCCCACATTACTGCAGAACAACCTAGCCTGTAAGTTGTAAAATGGCCCACTCTTCTGTACATCCATCTGTCATACAGTAGAACATTCCCCCAAATTAACAGCCATTTACTACCAAACAAATTTACTGAGTTGCAGAAAGGGCATAAGCTCTGGACAAGTCTTAACATTTCAATGAAGTTTAGAAATTAAACCTATCTCATTTACTAGAATTGTCTTCAGACATAAAGAACCTGGCAGCATTTGCTGTCAAACTGACATCTGAAGGTGAAACTCTGAGCACACAGTGCAGTGTTTGGGATTCTGGGACATTGGGGTTTTATGGTACACAGAGCTTACCTTGCAGTCCTTGAATGGTTAGAGAAGATCATCAGATCTTTTTCTAGTCTAGCCAGCATATGCAGTTCAATAGCTAATCACTCCTGAGCAACATTCAGCCATGATGTAAAAAATAAATCTCTATCCTATTATTAAGCAGGATGCAGTTTATTAGTCCATATGTTGAAAGAGATGTACAAATGAAATTCACAGCAGCAGCAATAATGAACTGGATGTTTACAAAGCAAGATGGATGCCTCCAATTCTCAATCAGAAAGGCACATTATACCAGTCACAGAAAAATGTTTCCATTTCCAAGACCTTTTAGTGCATTCATGCCTAGTCCAGCTGCATTTCAGTGAAGATAAAAATAAAATGACTTGTACACTACACCAGCTCCACAGTAGAAGCACTTCCATGCCTGGGAATGGGAGAGACGACTCCTGAAGCAGAACTTCTCAAAGGCACACAGAGTCAGCAGGGCAGAAAGCAGATGTTGCTGCTGGCAGGATGGAAACCAAATGGGCAGGAATTCTGCTTTGAGTTGGAAAAGGAGAAGGGAAAAAGGACAAAAGGTATGTGGCCTGTGCAAGTCCACAAAATTTATCACAAGTCTTAGATAAATTTCAAGGCTCTAATGGGAAGGCCAACACTACCATCAAAGAAGCAGAGCTCTGTTGCAATTATAAATAACCCTCAGCAAAAGAAATGTTTTGATTATTTGCTTAAATCCACAGCACAGTGCAGCCCTTCCAAGTGTGTGCTGTCCTCCAAAGGACATGATCCACTGCCCAGCATGACCAGCCTTTGCTCACTTCTCCTGTGCCTAGCACAGCTACAAGTCTGACCATGGTGTCACAAAGTCCAATGGTGTTTGCTGCTTTTCTCAAAACTCCAGATTTAGAATTTTATCTTTAATTTAAAAGATGTTTCTCTCCCTCATCGTTGCAGAAGAGCAAAGATCATTCAATAGCCTCAGAAGGTCAGTAAAGAAAGATCATACGAATTCTTCATTTGAAAACAAAATGACGCAGCAATTTCTTGTGACTTCAACTCACGATTTCTGAGTAAATGGAGATAAAACCCCACTTTGCAAAGGAAAGGCAGACCTAGGCATGAGTTTATTTAAGCAATATGTAGCCATAAATTAAAATAGTTTCTTGTCTTGTAAAGTTGCCTTTCTCTAACACCAGTCTCTAAAGGAAACTCTAGCACTTCCTGCAGTGGGAGGAAAAGCAGATTCATTGGTGACTAGTGTCAGTCACTGCCAATGGAGGCTGAATCACTATTCAAGAGTTGAGTCCAAGCAAAGGCATGCCAGCAGGATGGACAATTAATCTGCTGAGAGAAATTGCCACTGACATAAAATTCTGCAGCATTAAGTAAGAGTCAGCCTGGTGCAACGCAGAGCCAAAACACAGACAATATCTCATCTACACTGTGACCATGAGCACTGCACAGCAAACATTTTTTAAAATTTTGTCAGTGTATAAATCTGCTGCAGCCCTTATGAATACATACAAGACAAGTACATGTGTTGGGGGTTGTGTGCTACTGAAATCTTCTGGGCTTAATTTGAGAAAAAATTCCACATGTGAAGGAGCAACTGCAGGGCACTGGCTTACAAGAGAGGATTTTACATGCCAGAAATTGCCCCAGTGTATCAGAGACACTGTAACAAGAGATTTCAATGTATTTGTTTTTATCCAAACATGACCAAATGACACAGAACACCAAAAAAGTGCTAAGAAAACAGCTGCATAAAAAGTGCAAACCATTTTCAATAGTAAGAATTAACATACAGTTTCTCTAGACAACTTTTCAGTTGATGCTGCAACAACTGACTAGAATACAACTTGTACATTGTCCATGCAATTGTCCTCCCAAGTGCTGGCCCAAGTCAAGTGTCCAAGTAGCTACTGATGTGAAACTTGATGACCAGAATGACTGCTAAACATTTAAGCATGAACCATGGAATCTTTGAATGGTTTGGGTTGGAGGGAACCTCTAAAAATCACCTAGTCCATTCCCTCTGCTGTGGGCCAGGACATCTTTCATTGGGTCAGGTTGCTCAAATTCCCATCCAAGAGCAGCCTACGTGCACTTCATCTGAGCCACAGTTCAACATGAAAACAGGCTGCCTTTCACAAAGATGCTTTCAATGATGTGTTGAGTTTGTCTTTACACCATCCTTTTCTACTGAGATTGCACAGGAGCTTTCCCTGTACAGTGGGTATTATCCAACCCCTCTGAGTGCAAAATCCCAGTGCCTAAAGGAAGAGAAGTTATGTTTTGAACCAGAGTAGCAAGACAGACAACAGAATCCCTCACTGGCCAACATATTTCTCATCAGCCAAGGCACGTGGGTGGAAAATAAGCCAGTGAGTCCAACCATGCAGATTGAACTATGGATATATGCAAAAATGTAACACCACTGAGGGAAAGAAGCTCATTATTGTTTCACTGTTTAATTATGATTTATTTTCCTCATTGCACTACAGGTATGAATCCATGCTGCCACACTTGCACCTATTATCTCTCATGTGTACAATAATGTAAACCCTCTGCACAAAGTTGCTTCTAATGAACCCAAATCAGTCACTGCTCACTGAGGAAACAATGAATGGCACTTACTTAAGATGAAAATTGGAATAGTTTTAACAGCTTATAGCTGGGGCAGAAAGGCAAAAGGGAGAGAGAAAAAAAGAGAGAGATGGGCTCTTTTTGTTTTCTTTCTATGGCATTGGCTAAACCAGCC